TCGCAGTTTATGCTCGCCGGGTTGCAGGGGCGAGCGAGAGACACACGAGGCGATGGGCCGGGGGCCGCCGGTTGCGGTCGCCGGCGGCCCCCTCGAGAGGCCGCCCGGCGAGTGCGGCCCCGTGCCCGGGGCTCCGGCGGCCCCGCCTGGCGGCCCCCGCCCCCCCCGCCCCCCCCCCCCCCCCCCCCCGCCGCAGCAACGGCCCTCGCTCCCGGGGCCCGGTGCTTCCGCCGTCAGCCGCGCGCAGGAGGCCCATTCGCTGGCCTCCGGGGATGCAAAGTGTCTTGACCCATGTGCTTTGGGACCGCCGAGGGCGAGGGGTTTGCAAGGGGAGCACACAATCGGCCGCGCCGACCGGGGGCGCGGCTGCCCCCGCCCTCGGAAAACCCCGCGCCCAACATGGCCAGAGGGGAAGAGGGGGGCGCGGGCGGGGGGAGAGACAAGAAGAATGCGGCTACATAGTCAAGCGCCAGCGGCCGCGACGGGGGCCTCAGCTGATCGAGTGCGGATCTTGGCCCGGCGCAGGGGAGGCCGCGCGTTTTGTCACCGGTAATAATGCCGGCCACCGGCCCCCGCCCCCCCTCCCCCGGAGACTGGGGATGCGCCCTGCCTGCGACTTGCTTGGAGGGGCCCTCCTCGGCGCGTGGGCGATGGTGCGCGCCTCGGCCGGCCACCTGCAAGCCATGTACCTTTCACAATGGGCCGGCTCGGCCCGGGCCGGGAGCGATACCCCGCGTTGGGACCGGGTCCCGGGCCAGAGATCCGGGGCGCGCCCGCGCTCGCCCACAATCTTATCTGCCCCACGTTGGCCGTCGCAGGCCCTCGGGCCGCGCCCGCGGCACTTGATCCCGCCCGCGCCGGCCCCCCTCCCGGCCTGGCCGGGTACCGTAGAATGCCACCGGCACCCCGGCCGGCTGGCGTTTGTTGCCGCCCCTGAGACGCGAGGGCCACCGCGAGGAGCGGCCATCTCGAAGCACACACATTGATGTCGCCCTCGGTCGGTGCTGCCGGGAGCGAGCAGCTCTCGCTCGAAGAGGCCGACCGGCCGCGGTCCCCCCCCCCGCCCTCGATGATTCGACCCACATTGCGCACTCTCCACGGGGGCGGGGCGGCGGCCGGGGGGCGCCAGGACCCGTTCTCGGGCGGGCAGGCCCCGCTGTCCAGCTGAGGCGTGGTTGACTTGGCTCCTCCTCCGACCCCTTCCCCCGCGCTCAACAAGGACATCATACCCTGTTTGGGGGGCGGGCCAGTCCGGGATAGGGCGGCCCCGATAGCGCCGAGGCGGCGCTACCTCACATTCGCTCACCGATAGGCAGATAGCAGGCATGCCTCGACCCCTCCTCGTAAAGGTGATAACCCACGGGCGCGGCGAAGAGGGCCTCTACATCAGGCAGAGCGGGGAGGGGGTTCGAGGGGGTGAGCTTGGTGCCCCTCGAGCGCCGGGGTGCAGGCGTACAGCGTGATCCGCGCCGGCGCCCGGGCTTCTCCCCCCTTCCAGCCCTTTCCCTCAATCGCACACATACACACGCCCATCCTCTCCCCGAGCTCCTGAGCCCCCGAGTTCACGGGCCCCAAGTGCCCGGGCAGGTCCCCCGTCTTTCAGTCCGGTGTGCCCCCTGCCCCGCCCCCTCCCCCCGGGGGGGGGGGGGGGGGGAGACACCTGTTAAGATGTGGCACTTAAGTCCGGACCCCGTGGGCCACAGTGCACCGCCCGGGGCATGCGCCCCCGCACCCGGCATTGGGAATGCGTGCCCGCCCCGGTTGGCGCTCAGCCCACCGGAGGAGGCAGGCACCCAAGAGCAGGGCCATCCGGTGTATGTGGGTTTGATGGTCGGAGGAGGAGGAGGAGGAGGGGCGCGCGCGCGCGCGCGACCGGCCGAGGCGCAGCTGCTTGTAGAGCGAAGCAATGCGCAGCCCCTTGCCCGAGCGTGGGTGACGCGCATGGACGCCCCTCCCCTCGGGGGCGGGGTGGGGGCGGGGAGGAGCAACCCCCCAATCCCAGCCCGAGTCGCGCCTGCGCAAACCCCACAATCCGCTTGGCGCTGGCCTGGCAACATGGCGGAGCGCCGGATCCCAGTGCCAACGCATGGGGAGCTCGCACATGGTCTATTGGGGGAGGGTCACGCGTCAGTCCGAAAGGTCGACCTCCAGCGGATCGGAGGCTGGGGGGGGAGGGGCGGCTGTGCCGCCGGAGGCAGCGGTGGCCGCAGGGGCGGTGGTCGCGGGAGCAGTGGCCGAGTTGACGCTCGGGATGTGGGCGAAGCCGCCGGTGTAGCCAATCGACCGCAGCGGGGCCGCCCCGGTCTGAAGACTTTCACCGGGGATGATGAACTTGCCTGACACCGGGGGCTCAATGGCGGGGGCAGCGGCAGGGCTGAGACCCTCGTCAGCCGGCTGGTGCCCGGCCATGGCATCGACAATGTCCATCATGTTGAAGTAGTCTGTGTGTCGGGGAGGTGTGAGCGAGACGCGACATGTACATGGGAGGGGGGGGGGGAGCAGGCCCCCGCGCAGGCAGTCATGCGTACCATCCTCCTCCTCGCCCAGCTGAAGATGCTCGCCCTGGCGCCAGAGCTCAGACCGGCCACCGGCGGCGCGAGCCTGCTCCGGCGCCGGCCGGGGGCCGGCCGCCCCGCCGGGCCCCTCGCCGTCGAAGTCCTCCAGCCCAAAGTCATCCGGGTCATCTTCCGGGCTCAGGCCCAGGTCCGTGCCGTCCTGGTAGACATAGCCGCTGGCCCGGTCAGCGGCGTGGATCACCCGGGCCAGGGTTCGCCGCGAGATGACCGACAGCGGCCGGAACGACACCAGCGCATGGTCGTCCACCAGCCGGCATAGCGACCGGTGCATCATGGGGTACGCGTGGAGGACCGGCGCCGGCTGGTGGGCGGCCGCCGCCGGGGGGGCATCGCACGGCTCAGGTGCCACCAAGTGGCCCCCGGGCTCGGGCTCCCGCGTTCCCAGGAGCTCCTCGCCCTCAAGCAGCTGCTCCTCCTCCTCCTCCTCCTCCTCGGGGCCGTAGCGGACCTCCACCCGAGCCGCCCGCGGGGGGATGGTGTTCGTGACACTCGGGAGAATGGGCAGCGAGGCGCCATGCTCGGATGTGGGAATCAGGTGCCCGGCAAGGCCCGCCCGGGGCTCGGCGGAGGATGCCCCGCGCCTTGAGCGGGCCCGGCGCCGCCTCGGGGCTCGGAGCTCCAGGCGCCGCTCCAGCCCCTCGGGGGCCAGGAAGAAGGGAAGGCCATAATCTGAATGCAGTGACAGCGGTCGGTCAGCGACGTGCGGCATGGAGCCGGACCAAGAAAGCCACCCCAATCCCCACCCAAAGGGCGGAGCGGGGGGAAAAAGCAAGAGGCGAAGAGGAAGAAGGCAAGATGCCCACCCCCTCGGCCGCCGCTTCGCGCTACCGGAACGAACCAATTTCCTGGCGCTTGATCAGGTCCACCTTGCCCAGGACATTGATTTGCGGCCGGCCCAGGTGCAGCATCGACTGCAGCGAGGGGATAAGTGCCGCGGTCAGGTAGCGCGACCGGTCTGAGCAGTGCCGCGAGTCGGACAGATGGACCACCACAACCTGAGGCCGGTGAGCAGGGGGGCGGGGGGGGGGGGGGGGGGGGGGTGACAGAATGTCAGCAGGGAGGCGGATCGCGGAGCGGCAGCGGCGACCGGCAGCGGCGACCGGCAGCGGCGACCGGCGAGTACGCACCCGAATCTGCGCCTTCTCGAAGCAGTCCAAAATCCGGTTCATGGCATCATGGTAAGAGTAGAGCTCCGACTGGCCGGGGCAGTCAATCAACAGGTACTCGGCTGGGGTGACGCGGCGTCGTCAGTGGACATGCTCATGGGAGCATGTGTGGGTGCGCGAGTAGGACAGAGACCGCAACGACCGGGCATGCGGGCCCTCCTCCTTTGTCTTTGCCCATTGCCTGGGCGGGCGCCCGAGCACGCACCCTCCAGCGAGCGAATCTTCATCAAGACCCAGTCAATGTTCTCGGCGATGTACTCCATGCAGTAGATGAGCCCGCCATTCGGCCCGAGAGCGAACTCATCCTGCACGCTGGTCAAGTCCACCAGATCGCGGATGTCCAGGTCCGCCTGTGCAAGGAGGCCCTCGGTGTCCTCGGTCGCCTCGTACCCGATGGCCGGATCGAAATTGACATATGCCGTCGGTCTGTGCCCGCCGGAGCCAGGAGGGAGGACCGGTGTTCAGAGAGGGGAGGGCGAGGGGGTAGGTGAGTTGCGGCGGACGGGCTCCCCGTCACCATCCGGCCG